GCAGAGGAGTAAAGGCTTGAAGATCTCCAAAGGAGCCGGAGAGAAGTAACCGAGGTATATATCCGTAGCTCGCTAATATGCAGCTTCATATATCTGTCTCTCTCACACTCACACACGCCACTATCAGCTGTGATAATTTTATGAAGCTGTGGCCTTATCTAGGTAATGCTACCAGACATCTTGACAATAGTTTGGTTGAAACGGGATGTGGGGGTGGGGTATTACGTCTATAAAAAGACAATTGTGTGTGTAGGATTAATTACCTGTCCAACAGAAAACTGGCAACTTGAGCGTCACTTTGAAAACCTTTTTCCTCCATCAGTGACTTCCATCGTGTAAATGCCGTGCCAATGTTGATCCGTGTTTTTTGTCGTTTCTTGTCACGCTTGCGTTTATTTTCGTCGTGTTTCCGCTTCTTAGATGACAGGGGTTTGGTGTCCGCCCCTTTTCGTTGTGATACAGAGTAGGCAGGATCCTCCATTCGTCTGATGTTTGGCCACACAGTGCCAAACAGTTTGCAAAGTCACTCACGCCTGCCGCCTTGTTCACCTTTCTTGTTACTGAAGCGCAGTATACCTGCTTCTTCTTCTTCTTTGGTTTCAGGCAGACTAAACGCTTCTCAGGCATAATACTGCCATCTATTGTTCAGTACCGTCTCAGTTCATCTCTCTCAACTTGCTGTAGTTACTTTCGAGCGTAATGGGCAATCTCGCAATCGCTAGTTTGTTGCCTCTGCGCTTGCCGTAGCGCAAAGATGTCTGCCTCCATGGCTGCGAGACCCGCTCCTATGTAATTATAAATAATGAATTCTAAGGCAACGCAAATATTATGGTTAAAAGGCTGAGCTCATAGGTGATGATAAATAACATAGTTATGTATAATATTCAATTTCTGACTTTATATCCCTGTAATTATTACACACTGTAGCTTTAAAGTCGTAGTGAAATGGGTGCTCAACGGTTGCATTTCCGAATTCTCCCGAGTGGTGCCCGACTTTACACAAGCGAATAAAGCTGAATGTGATTGGTTGACTATCAAGGGGGCGGGATTGTTGTGGTGGAAGGTTTGCAAGGAAGTTTGGTTGTGTCCGGTCGCTCGGAAGCATCTTGCTAACCAGTTAGCAACTTAGTGCTAGTAGGTTCCTAATGGGAAATTCCATTGGCACCAATTAGCACTTGATTGGTGACTTGGAAACGACACTGTCAAGGAACGCTATGGACAGCGGAAACATGCAAGAGGAGGAGAGTTTAGTGTCGGAGGTCGTGGACGAGTCTCCTCGGTCATCCATTTTTTATTTAGAGGAGGAAAGCGGGGACGAAGATGTTGTGGAAGAGGACGCCAGGGCGGCAGAAGCTTGGTTTGGTGTAGAAGGCTTCCAGCCGTACATGTTTGAGCCCTTGCCTCGCAACGCTGCCAGTTCTGTTAGCTCTACGCTTGCCGAAGACACAGACGTCCATCCCCGTGAACACTGGGACGGAACTCAGTGGGAAAGGAAAGGATTCTTATTTCTTATTTAAACCGTTGCGTATATTAGCTGCAACATATGAATCAAGATGCTATGACCGAAAAAATTTGATTGACAGATGACCTTTGATATATGATTGGCTGAATTTAGGTGTACAAGCTGAGGTATAACTAACTGGCCTGCATAAGATAAAAAGAAAAACACAGATTATAAGACAGGATTCGTTTTAAATAGAAATTTCCAAAATTTTGGGACATTAACATCTGATAAAGAGTACATTTTTATACATGTTTAAGCCAATATGAATAGGAATTCCCTGCGACTTTAAGCTTTTTATCCAAACAAAAGTGTAAAAGTACAATTTTTAGAACTACTTGAGTTAAAAGTAATGCAGGTGAAAATGTTAAAAACAGACGCTTTACTGCACTACCCTATTAAAGGAAAATTTTTCTGCAATTCTGGGTGATAACTTCTTGGACTTAGTTTTCTTGGTTGTATAACTAAGGGCAACAGTGTCAAATTTAACTTGCATCATCTTGAAAAAATTATTTAGTTTTGTATGTGGTGAACAACAAGTTGGTGCAGCACTGAGTCCACACAAAAATGAAACAATTTTGGATAAAACAAATTACAGTGTTTTTATTGTTTTTATTTATTTTAGCTTCAGAAATGTACAGATCAGGTGGAAGAATTACTTGAAAGGACAGCTGTGCACTTCCTTTATTTAATGTGCATAGAAGAGCGGCAAGAAGAAAGCCACCAGTAAATAATGAGACACAAAAGCTCAGATGGGAAAAGTTAAATATGTTTGAAGATTCTCAGTCATCCAAGTCAAGCTTGAAAAGTTCAGTTTAGGTAACTGGACGTGAAGTTTTCTAGAAGACAACCACCATCACCTGAAGGCTAAAGGACACTAGTTTCAGGACATCAACATCTATATTCTGGGCAAAGAAGACAGATGGCTTGATAGAGGGATTAAGGAAACCATCTTTGTTAACCTGGAAAAATTCTCTCTCAACAGAGGAGGTGATCTTAGACATAAGCTGGCCCCTATTTACAAAGAACCTTTAGGAACAACACCCAGAAGATTCCCCTCTCACCTGACTCACTCTTAAAAGAGGCAGAACCTGTCATGTTGGGATCAAGGTTTCTAACCCACATGCAGAACACACGGACTCAGAGGGAAAAGTTCAACAGTTTATTGAAACACAATGATATTAAAGAACTGATGTTTGGGAAACAGATCCAGGACTGGTCACAACTGGGTTCTCTGCAGAGAGGGACAGTTCGGTTAGATGATCCAAATACTGTTGTTTGTTGAGTAATGCAGGTCTGTACCTGTTCAGAGATTTAGGCTGAGCGGCAGGGGAGGGAACCAGGAGGGTCCAGAGGCAGAAGATAGGCAGAGGGCTAGGCAGAGGCAGGGCTTGACTTCAGACTTTGCGGTGTTCAGATCAGAGTTACTTTCCAGTTCTCTTCTTGAGAGCGGGCAGGCAGGTTCAGACAGTTTGACTTTCCAAGGTTCTTCTGAGATCAGACAGCTGGTCTCAGCTAAGAAACTCTCCCAGAGTTCCAGGGTTCAGTCAGGTTCTTCTTAGGAAGCAGAGAGGACAAAAACAAGTTAGGTTCAGGTTTCAGGGGAGTCAGAGAATCAGACAAGTTGGTTGGCTCAGGCTTGCTAACTGTAACTGGCTTAACACTCTGGCACTGGAGTGTAGCTCTGCCACTACTTAAATGCTGGTCTCCTGATGAGCAAACGAGCCGCAGGTGTGGTAGTCAGCTTAAGCTCCAGGAGACCTAGGGCGCCCTCTGCTGGAGAAAGGTGGACAGACCTCCAGATCCCAACAGAACCCCCTTACAACCATTAATGCCCCAGGTGACCTCCATGGCCAATCCAGTAGTAGGGATCAGGGCTACCTTTTATTTTTTCCCCTAATTCTTTGTTCCACCAACAGTATATTAATTGCAGTGCTCCCCATCACTGGTTAGAACTGAAGAAGCCTCTTGAATGAGAGGAGCAACATCTTCTAGAAAACTTCACATCCGGTTGCCTAAACTGAACTTTTCAAGATTGAAAGCTTCAATGTCTGATTAAAAACACAACATATCACCCAGATCACCCATGAAACGTGGCGTTTGGTTTTTAGCACTGAAACAAAAGAAAAAAAACATCCATGCTGGTAATCAATGAGACTACCACCTCATTTCATTGTTTTGCTCTCATATTTCCTCCAAAAGTTCCTCTTTCAACTTTTTATTTCTGAGGATCTTTACTACTTTCAACCGTCTCATGGTTTTGTAACAATTAACAACTGTATGAGTTAATAGGAAGATGTGTGAGAAAAAAAACATCAAAAAACAAGCAATCCTGTTGAAGTTTGCAAGAAATTTGGAACTGGGATGCCTGTAAATATGCAACCAAAGCAACAATAAAAGACAAATGTTAAAGTCCAGACATAAATACAGATGAGATTCTGATGCAAGTCTAAATAAAGTTGATGATAAAATAACAATTTATGGTTGAAGGTAGAGTAAACCCTGGACAGATTACCGGTCCATCACAGGGCAACACACATGCACTCCTTAGAACCACCAATTAACACAATTGTCATTTTCGGGACTATAAAAGGGAGCAGGAGTACCCAGAGAGAACCCACGCCTTTACAAGGAAGAACTCCATGCAGAAAAGATCCTACACGCTGGGAATCAAACCCAGGATATTCTTCTTACAAGGCAGCAGAGCTACAAACTACACCGCCATATTGTACTATTTTGCAATCATAAAAACATCATAATTTTATTTCTGTAGAGCATTTACTCAGGGAAATGAATAAAATGCATCTGTTGGAAAAACATATTACTAAAGATAGGCAATAAATGTCTTTTTTAAAATCCTGGGTGCACTTATAAAGGTTCCCCTGACTAAACGCTGACATTAGAGACTCAAACCTTGCAAAGAAACAAGTGTGCAGAACAAAAAACAAAAACAAAAAAAAACATCTCATGGTTGAGCAGTAGACCTGCTGCAGCTTGCACATAAAATCCTGGTAAAACGCATGTAGAGAATGAAAAGTGTTTTTTTTATTATAACAAAATATACATTAGATTAAATATCACAATACTTGGATTTATGTTTAATAGCTGCAGGATTCGTCTAAAATTTGAGTCAAAGTCTACAGATTGTTTTCTACAGAAGATAAGCAGCTGAATTTCATCACAGTTGAAAAATAAAGGGCATCCAAATTTTATTTTTGTGATTAAATAAACAAAAAAGCTCATCTTTATTTAAGGAAACTTGACTTGCTTCTCCTACCTGTTTAAATAACAGAGATGGCAGCTGGTAAATAGTCCAGAGGAAAAACAAAAAGTCGTTTATCTCTCTCCTCCTCCCACAGTCTGGAGACCCATTCTTCAAGGGGGCGGGCCTCTGACGCTGCCAGTCACTCGGATCCCGCGCCCTGATTGGCGGCTTCCTCCCCTGGGGGGCAGTGGGCGGTGCGATGGAGCCACATGGATCCAGCTGGATGTTTCCAAGACCGTTACTCTGCTCCATTCTCCGTGGAGTCACTCCTGACACCGTGGACCATTCTCCCGCATCATCAGCATCATCTCTGCTTGAACTTTTTTTTTTCTTTACTGAAGTGAGAAAATTATACTAAGACTTTATTTTTCTTCACTGATCCCTCTTATTCATGCCTTTTTATGTTTCAGAGGATCAGTTTGATCCACGCGTAAAGGTCCTTGTTGAGTGATTTATCCATCAGATGGAGGTCCATTCTCCTTAATGACAGCAAACTTGACTATTTCAAGGATTTAAAGGAAATTATTTAATCTTATAAAAAGCAGCAACACTTTGGGAAAGATACTTTTGTTGTGTGTTTTTAAAACTGGATCTATGTGAGAGAGACACACTTTGCTGTCTTTTGTTGTTAGAACTGTCTTAATGGAAACATGACCAAAGGCGCAAGAGGACCGGTTCTCCTGAACACCCTCCAGCTGCTCCTGCTGCTGCTTCACGTCCCGCCGGCGTGTCTCTCCGCGCAGCGCAGGCACCCAGCGCGTTATTTTGGCCACATCGCTGAGAACTCCCCAGCTGGAACCCCTGTGGATGGGGTCCTAATTCCGCTGGAAGCCGGAGACTGCTCCGGAGCGGACCTCCGAAGCAGCCTGTACGGGAACTATCCTTCTGATTTCAGGATCGTTTTCTTCGCTGGACATCGGGACTCGGCTGGACATTTGACTTTGATGTCCGCGAAGCCTTTGGACAGAGAGTTTATAGCGATGTACGAGCTGACGGTGGAGCTGCCCTCCAGGTGTCAGAGGAGAGCAGCGGTGGTCCAGGTCGAGGTGTCCGACAGGAATGATAATATACCCCAGTTCACCAGCGGGAATAAAACGGTGGAGGTGGACGAGCTGGCGCCTCTTGGAACCGTGTTGGCTCGCTTTGACGCAAAGGACGGCGACGCGGAGAGAAATGGACGCGCAACTTTTTACGCATCACCGGAGTCCGGTTTGCTGTACGTGGTTCCACAGACAGGTGAGGTGAGGCTGGTCGGGTCCCTGATGGGGGTCCGCCAGCTCAGCCTGCGCCTCTACGTTAAGGACGGCGGGGATGTGGCGCTGGTCGGTCAGCCGGTGTTCCTGTGCGTCAACGTCCGTGGATCCGGCAGGGCGCGCCGGAGACCCCGCGCTCTGTCCCAGGACCTGACCTACACGGTGACCCTTCCGGATCACATCAGGGTGGGAGATCTGGTGTTCACCGTGCCGGACCAGAGGTTCGAGCAGCGTTGGTTCGAGGTGATATCCGAGGCTGACTCGCCCGTTCATATCGAAAGGGACTCGGGGCGCATCTACCTGGCGCGCAGCCTGCGGGAACCTGCGGAGGTGACGGTGAAGATCCAGAACCTGCGAGGTAAGAACGACACTTTTATTCTTCCCTACGAGAAAAAGGCAAGTTGTTTGCTGTTGGATGCTGGTTCGGATTCCTGGTGTGTATTTTTTTTATGCCGAATGTTCAACACTGATCCTTAAGTTTCTTAAAACCGTTTTACTTCAGACAATCAACAGGATATATCTCTTATCCAAAGATAAATTACTAAAGAATATCATTGGAAACGTGAAAAAAAGAGGATCAGCAGTTGTGAAAAGTCTTTTCTTCTTTTCTAGCAATAAATGCATTTTATTGATAAAAGTATAAAGAAACATTTCTTCATGTGTTTCTTTGTGAATTAAATCAGAATTTATGTAAGTTTTCCTTCAATCATTAAAAGTACGGAGATGCTTTTTTAAATCATTTGGATGAATAAAAATATCTTCTTCCAGAGGCTGAACCTGCATTTCTCTTTTTTAAGTTCATGACTCAGTTGGTCTTAAAAAAATGATGAAACAGACAATTTCAGGTCAGCAACTCAGTGCATCAAAACAGTAATAATTTAGTGTTGCACTGATGCAATTTTTTGGCCCTGATACAGATACCTGGCTGTGCAGATACGATACCATGTGTTTGAAATCGATGTGTGTGTGTATATATGAAGAACTGCATACTACTTGGATGTAAATAATTGCCATCATGGCTTTGCCTTCCTTTGTGAAGCAGGAAAAAGACGAAAACAAAGTGAATCCAGTAGAACTTTTTATTGCCTACCTGGAATGGGTGACAATAGTTGAATAAACTTTTGGCTCTCGAAATGGTATCGGCAGAGGTGGAAAAAGTACTAAAATATCATACTCAAGTAAAAGTACCAATACTTGGATGAAATATTACTCAAGTACAAGTAAAATTACCCATCAGAAAAATTACTCAAGTAAAAGTAATAAGTAGCTAATTTAAAATGTATTTTAAGTAAAAGTTACTTAGTTACATTAAAAAAAGAAAAAATGTTGAACTGGGACCCCTGTGCTAGACAAAATTAGCAATGCCACGAAACAGGTTGTTTTGCTAATTGGCTATTAGTCATGAAAACTTTGTTTGAAGTACCAATGCACTAAATACTTACCAAAACATGCTTCCGCAGATTAGATGTGGAGTTATTGAATGCTGCCAGTTCAGTCACCTTTGGCAGACACATCTGGCATTGCAGGATGATACTGTTGGCCCTCTTGAATTTAAATGAAAAGCATGTCTTTCAAATGTGGCCAAGGATTTTCGTGGTTTTGGGCAGCAGAATTCGATGTTTCAGCTAGCATTTCTAGTGAAACGTTCTCTGAACCGTCGTCGCTCTCCTGATCCACCTCCATCTCGTTCCCAATCTCCTACAGAAAGACTTGGCGCCTGGTAGCCTAGATCTACATGCTGATCACGTCACTTGCTGTAGAGCTTCTGGGCCCCATTTTTTGTCTTTTTTTTTTTTTTACTTATTTTTTTTACTCAGTAACGGATGGGATTTGTAATGTAACGAAATACAATACTTCACTCAAAACGTAATCAAGTAAAATTTAAATTACAGATTTTAAAAACTACTTGAAAAATACACAAAAAACCTACTTAACACAGTAACTTGAGTAAATGTATTTCATTACTTTCCACCTCTGGGTATCGGTGCCCTATTTGTTGGTACTCCCCGATACCGATACCACCATTCTAGTGCTGGATTCGGGTTCTGTCCGATACTGGTATCGGTGCAACAGTAATAATAATTGAGCTTTTTTGATCTCACAATGGAGAAATTTACCTCTGCATTTAACCCATCCGCATGGGGAGCAGTGGGCTGCCATTGTGCGGCACCCGGGGAGCAGTGTGGGGTTAAGGGTCTTGCTTAGGGAGCCACAGTGGCAGTCTATGGGATTGGGGCTCGGACTCAGAATCAGAATCAGAAATACTTTAATAATCCCAGAGGAAAATTACTTTTGTTACACGCTCCAGTTACAGGCCCCGTCCACACGAAGTCAAAACGGACACGAAACGCTAATATTTTCAAGAATGTTTGTCGTAAAGACGGAGACGTAAAATAAATGTGATCGTCCACACGAATGCATGAAAACGCTGCAAAATGTATGCCAGGCCTGTAAGTGGCGCTGTGGTGCCAAAGCAAAAATAGGCGACGAAATGTTGGGCATGCGCACTAATATTTATACATGGTTGCCCTGCGGGTCCATTTTCGTGGTTCAGTCAAATTCAGGTGCTGAACTATGTGGTCGATATTGCTCTGTTCTTCCTGGAGATATTCCAGAAGAAGAAGATTCTGTTGTAAGCCCGACAGCAGGGTGAGTAGCATGCGCAGCAACCATTCAACACAGTACGGCGCCATTGTTGTTGTGATACTGTGTCGCGCATGCGTGTTTAGAGGCGACGCTGTGACGCATGCGTGTAAAAAAAAAAAAAAAAATGCGGTTAGAGCTTAAAGATGGAAACGCGAAAACGGCGTTTCAAAATCTTCCCACTCTGAAGGCTTAATAAAAAAAAGATCGTTTACAGACCCCCGAAACGCCGGCTTCGTATGAATGAGAGGCTGGTCTGGTGAAAAATTTGTGCGTTTAGGCCAGGGTTCGGCTTCGTGTGGACGGGGCCACAGTTTTATATAATATATACACACATCCAACTATACAATATAATAAAGATAAAAAATAAGAATAAAAAGAGAGAAAATATATACACATATAGCTCTTCTGTATATATATATGTGTACGTATATCTATGCATATGTAAAAATGAAATCCAAATAAAGTGAAAAACCAATTAAAGTGATAAATCCAAGTAAAGTGATGCGTGGTGTGCAAAAATAGTGCATAAATGTCAATTACGGGGGAGGGGGGGGGCTGAATCACTTGAGGGAGGCGTTATAGAGATTGATGACCACAGGTAGGAATGATTTCCTGTGGTGCTCTGTGGTGCATCTGGGTAGGAGGAGTCTTCTGCCTAAGAAACCTCAGGATTCCAAGCTCTATGCCACTAGACCGCCATCAAAAGTTGGTGAATACAACTTCAAATCAGGCCTCAGTATGGGGTGTGGGGGGGGGGGTCTGTTTGAAGGAAGCTTGATGAAACTGATGATCTGCTTGGATTTTCAAAGACTTCTTTCATCTCCCAGGTTTAATGGGACAAGAATGCTTTGGTGATGTCAGAGGAAAATGGGAAGACATGAGGAATATTATCTCCCTGAAATATGAGATGCACTCAGATTTCCTCAGACTTTCCAAAACTAAGAGTGTTTTCTTTTAAAGGTTGCCCTGTCTGTGTGATGAGATTGAGATTGATTCAGTCGGTAAAAAAAAAAGAGCAATCTGGAGTGGTTTTATAAACCTTTTAAAGGTCAATAACAGAGATATTTTAAGTTGCAGCTTCAGAAACGGTTTCCACTGACACTGCTTTGCAGATTTTTCCTCCGTTAAGGACTGAGAGGTGTTCATTCAGACCGCTGCATGTAAAGGCCCATGCGTTGGCTCTTTTCCAGCAGTTTGAATTGACCCCAACCGTCAACGGCTGCTTTCCTTTCTTTCATTCATTCCATACAACCATCTCTGCCAAGAGTGTGTGTGCGTGTGTGCAAGAGACAGAGAGAGGGAGAAACAGAGAGGAAGTGTGTCGGATTGTGCCTGTTGCCAGCAGACTGTTAAAGGACAAACGATGTTTAGTTTTTAAGGTGTGAGTAAACACACCTCGAAACACTTCACACACAGATTTTCAGTTTTTACGGTAAACCGAAAGGAAGAGAAGGACGAATGACTGGAGTCTCCCTCATGACAGATGGTTGAGACTCACCAAAGTTTCTACTGTGGCTGAATATTCAAATCTTTAAAGGCTCCCAACAAAACGACATGAGGATTTTATTTATTTATTTATTTTGCTGAGCATGTTGGTCTTCTGCAATGCAGCAGGATCTCATTTGCATTTATAAAGGTCACTTCGTCTAAATAACAGAATAAGTTGTCCCGCGGTCTTCTGAAGCATTTATCTTATCTTCCAGGATTAGTTAAGATACAGATTGAGGATTTAAATGTCTTAACCCCTTATGGACGGGTGAAACTTATTAGCTTCATAGCAGTTCCAGTCTAAATACAGCCAACATGGTTTATGTAGAACAAAAGTGTTGCTTCTGGTACTGAGGATGCCATAAAATGAGCTTTAATAACATTCAGTAGTTTGGAGAGGGAAAAACACTTATAGTTTGGTTTCATTCACATCATCTAAATCTGAATAAGGTTGTAAAATGAAATAAAAATGCATCCTTATCAATGCATTTCACAAGAATGGACAAAATTTAAATGTTATGATTTTGGGTTTGAGGCTTTTTATAATTTCCAGGTAATTAAGGAATTCAGTACAATTAGTAATAAGTATAATTTCAGTTTGTTTGTAGAAAAGGTCCATTAAATGTATTTATCAGCATTTTTCTATATTGAATCCAATGATAACTTTACAGTTTTTGCAATTTTACCGTTTTTCTGCACAATTTGAAGCACTTTTAAATGAAAACCTTAAGATTGTTCAAAAACACAGGTTGTACATCAAATTCTAGCACTGTCTCCTCTTGGCAAAGTAAAGCATAGCAGCTCGACGTACGATACAGCGAGTTGTCAAATATTGTCAAATTTAAACACAAAGATGATTAAAAAAGTCATGCTTGTTATAAATTTTTCATCGGTCTTTTCTTAGCAACAGAGCATTAATGAATTAGTCCACAAGTAAAACAAACTCAAGTGTTATTCCCTATATGCCTGGTGTCGCTAATTAGCATCATACCTGAATTTGAAATAAAAGAAGGAAAAACATAATCTGAAAAAGAGAAATAAAGAAAGATCTAATTAAAAAAATTAAAAACAAAAATAGAGTTGAAAAAAATTCAAGTGTCGAAACAAGTCATGATAAAAAAAAAAGAAAAGCGACTCTCAGAACCTTTTTTTTTATTAAGACCTTTTTCAAAATTTAATTTGTGAATTGCTTTTTTATCAAATTTCAAATAATGGAACAAAGTT